CTTCCATTTTGATATTTATATATATATATATATATATATATATATATATATATATATATATATATATATATATTAAAAAAAAACCGTTGATGGAATCAACAGACAACTTGCCAAAACCTAAAGCTCTTATACAGATAAAGTCTCGAATAAAACGATAATACCATACAATGAAAAAGGAAAAAAGGCTTCAAGGCAAAATTACCTAGCTTATATATATCTGTGTGTTGAACACTTTCCTTTCTGGTGTGCATACACGACAGACTCTTTTTAAGAGCTGCTTATATATATATATATATATATATATATATATAGAGAGAGAGAGAGAGAGAGAGGGAGCCTGACGTGTTATACCAGTAACTACATAGGAAGCGTCTGGCTAGCAAAAAAAATAGAATAAAGCAGTAATTCGACCTTGCTCACCAGAAGTTTCCTCACTTTTTTCTCTATATATACACACACAAACACACACACACACACACACACACACACACATATATATATATATATATATATATATATATATATATATATATATATATATGATGAAATAAAGAACAAATAAAAAGCATATATCAATCTAAGATGTTTCACTTTTATTAAAGCTTCATCAGAGATTGAGAGAAAACAAAACAAAAAGACAGAAACACTGGTAATTATGTTTGGGTCAATTCTCATTGGTCAAACACATGTCATGTGCATTAAAGTCATAGATAATTCTATGTATATTTAAGATTGTAAAGATTCTTGTACATCTAAGTGGGCATCAGATGGTAATGTGTATTCATAATTGTGTATGTGTGTCTATCTAGTGGGAGTTCCGATGTTTTAACCTTTGTCTAGGGTTAAACATTATCTAATTTATATGTACTCATATTCGAGAGACGGACAGACAGGCATACATGCAGACAGATAGACGGACGGGGAGAAATTCCTATTTGCCTGTCTGTTTGTCTCTCTGTCTGACTATCTCTCTCTCTCTCTCTTATATATTTTAAAGATATGGAATATTTATGGGTTCAAGTGTATCAGGCACAGAGCATATGTAAATATAAAGATGGCCTGACGATTGCATTTAGTATGAATCAGACTGTCGCCAGTTATATATATATATATATATATATATATATATATATATATATATATATATATCGAGAGATAGAGCGTGAGAGAAGACAGATATATATACAGCAGAGCAGATAGCAGAACAGACAGAGAGAAATAGATATTATCTAGTTCAATATATATATATATATATATATATATATATATATATATATATATATATATATATATATATAATATTTTTCCATGAAAGAGTAGGCACTGCTGTCAACATCTAATGGCTTGAAGATTCAGTTCGACCATAAAACAAACTGTCGCCATGTGTTGACATCAGTGTCAACCATATATATATATATATATATATATATATATATATATGTATGTATGTATGTATGTATATATAATTATATATATTTATTTATATATAGAGAGACACAGACAGACAGACAAAAATACAGAGAAACCAAGAGACACAGAGAGAGAGAGAGAGAGAGAAAGAGGGGGAGAATGAAATGAGAAAGAAAATGTGTATAAGTATGTGTATGTGTGTGTGTGAGAGAGGGAGAGAGAGAGAGAGAGAGTAAGCAGAAAACTTAACATTACATCGTGATTGTAAATTTAGTGCCTTAAGCGATGACCAATTGGACTATAATCTGATCTAATATATATATATAAAGAGAAATTTGGAAAAAAACAAACAAAAATCCTTAAATGCAATTATGTTGTTTAAAATGAATGAAATGTCGACGTCTGACGTTTCGGTTTAATAAACAAGACAATATTCATTAAAATACAATTCAGTTCAATTTGACAAAGACGATGGACATAAACAACAAGTCTTATCCAAAACAGATAACTGAAAATTTTTAAAATGATAAGCTTTCCGTTTAGCATGGTCACGTTGTCGTAATTCTACTAGGATCTAAAATTTCTATGTGTTTGCTTGGATAAGACTTGTTGTTTATGTCCATCGTCTTTGTCAAATTGAACTGAATTGTATTAATGAATATTGTCTTGAAAAAGGTTTATTAAACCGAAACGTCAGACGTCAACATTTCATTCATTTTAAACAACAATAATTGCATTTAAGGATTTTGTTTATTTTTCCAATTTTTCTTCATTCTGCCGGATCTATATCCATTTACATTTGCTTACATATATATATATATATATATATATATATATATATATATATATATATATATATATATGGATAGATAGATGGATAGATAGATAGATTATCTATTGTATAAATATCAACAAGAGTAAATAGATCAACCAATAGTGTGAAGAGGAGAAGGAAGAGACATATGAACAGAATGCGATCTATCTATCTATCTATCTATCTATCTATCTATCTATCTATCTATCTCTCTCTCTCTCTCTCTATATATATATATATATATATGTGTGTGTGTGTGTGTGTGTGTGTGTATGTGTGTATGTGTGCGTGTATAATGAAAGGCGGTCCATAGATGGATGCTTCTTATAATATGTAGATGCGTATGTAATTCTACTTGCGTTTGTGGGTCCGTTTAAAATTTGCCTTATTTACTCGTTAAGGGTGCTCGATATCAGAGAAAGGACGTTTGTTGATGTAGACTGTGTGGACAAGGAAATCATATATATATATATATATATATATATATATATATATATATATATATATATATATATATATATATATATATATGTGTGTGTGTGTGTGTGTGTGTGTGTGTGTGTGTGTGTGTGCATGCAAACAGATTCCCATGTTTCTAAATTGTCTGTAACTATCTCAGTCTGTTCATATCTATCTATTTATCTCCCTACCCGTCTCTCTCTATTTCTCTCTCTCTCTCTCTCTTTCTATCTATCTTTCTATCTATCTATCTACACACACACACACACACACATATATATATATATACTTCATTAAATAATATAGACAAGTGTTGTCTATTTAATTTATGTAAATTCTTTTCAAAACGTCTGATAAACTTAATAACATTATCATTAAACGAAGAAAGAAAATCACAAGCTTATCAGATGTTATGAAATGAATTTACATAAAATAAATAGACAACACTTGTCTATATTATTTAATGAAACATGTATGAATGAATAAATGCTGCCTAAATAAAACAATATATATATATATATATATATATATCATTCTGTTCATATCTATATCTTTCCATATCTATCTATCTATATATATATATATCTATATATATATATATATATATATATATATATATATATATATATATCCATGAATAAATATATATATGTATGTATTTGAAATTCAATCTTCTATGAATCTCTCACGTACATTCATATCTGCTCATGGCGTATCAAATGTAAACAAATGATGTCCTCCGATATTTTCTGTGGAAATTTCTCGGACATTCAGGCCGGTAAATATTGTTTAATACTGTTTATTATAAACAGAGCATTTACTTAAATATTTGTATCTATAAAAAGAATGTATAAACATAAAAATGTCTTAAAATAGTTTTCGTACTTTGTCCATTTCATAATGTGTGACATCATTTGTTTACATTTGATACGCCATGAGCAGACATGAATGTATGTGAGAGATTCATAGAAGATCAAATACAGTAAATTCGACCTTGCTAACCGAACGCTCCTCTATGGCCAAATCGGTTAAAGGCACGTCAAAATATATATACATATATACATACATACATATATACATACATGCATCTGTCATCGGTACTGTTTTACTCAAATTAAAGAGTGACCAAGACTGGCAACAACTGGCCGAAATATTTCCAAAAAAAAAAAAATAAATCATTCGTTGGAATTACAATTTTTTCTTTCTTTTACTACCAATGGAGACAACCATCCTAACTTTGAGATAGAAAAATGCGTCGGGAAAAAGAGACTAGATTTCCGTTATCAGTGATTGGTATGTTCTGAGATCGCTCAGATATTTGAAAACGTGGACCCAACTTAACATTATGATTTTTTTTGTCCATTGTGCATAGATATGTGTCGTCTGCATTCATATCTGTAGTTATATTTTAATTAACAAGAGATTATCAACAAACTAATATTAAGTTGTGATAATTGTAACAGTATCAGGGAATAAAGATTTTGTGACTAATAAAATGTACGGCGTCCACTTCTTACCTCCCCATCCCTTACAATTTGTCAGGTGACCGGTTTTTTTTCTTTAAAATGCGAACGTTCACCTTTGCATAGTGATAGATCACTTAATGCTATCTCTTTGACGGATCTAAATTAACCCTGATCACGACATTAATGCCATTTGATGCATCAGCGTTACATAAACACGAATGAATTGTTTGTTTTTTGTTGTCGCTTTGGGTTTGTACGCGGCTAATGAAAACCACTGAAGAATGACACGTAAATAAGTCGAGGTGGGGGTGGTCTATTTTTGATCTCATTATAGTAGTGTCTATCCCACCCTTCGTCAGTTCCTTGGTTAACACATACGTACGTTATGCCCTGCTAATACCTCATAAATAATGGACTATTCCGTTTTGATTGCGAGGAAAAAAGAAGACGTAACAATAACGCTACTTGGTTTCAATGAGAAAAAGAAAGAAAGAAACGCTTTGCCAATACCCCATAAATAATGGACTATAACGTATATCAGATTAATTGATTAATTCGTTTTCTACAGCTTATCAACCCCTAGCAGGTTATTTAAAGCCCCAAAATATTTTTAGATTGTAAGAATATTTTTTAGTGGTATGGGGTATTAATAATGAAAAGATAAAAGTCTTACTAATCAACCCATAGATGGGAGAAGGGGGGAGGAGGAGGAGGAGGAGAGTTGAATTCACAGCTTTTCCCAATGATATTTTCGCGTACGTGTATATAACGAACCCAACGGGAATTAACGCTCGGCTCTCCGATTAAGAATCCTCAGGCATTATCCATTACACGACCCACACATTCAAATTTACAACATCTGGTATTCTCAAGTGGTCTCCTGTCTAGATTCTCATCAGCCTCGACGTTGCTTAACTTCGGTGATCGTACGGGAACTGGTATTTCAACGTGATATGGTCATAAGCCTGCCATATCAGAGACGCTGTTTGATATTCAGTGCACTCAATTTGAATGTTGAACAGTATTTACATTAGTCGGACTATTGTCCTCATCTTTGTCGCCATATTTGTCACAACGTTTCGGCCGTTGTACGCTCCGGCCTTCTTCAAGTGGTTGGAATTTCGAACTGAACCCTTTATTTCGATCACTGGGGTAGACTATTCCACGTGCCATGTTTGATGGATGTCAGTTATCAGTTATCTCCTGCTAATTTTCCCTCTGAAAGTTCTCCACTGCCTTAACCAGGAATTGAACTCACCTTCTTTGGGTCTGTCACGGGATCTAACCAACGCCTTTATCCACTGTGCCATGTGTCCTGAGTTCAATTCCTGGTTAAGGCAGTGGAGAACTTTCAGAGGGAAAATTAGCAGGAGATAACTGATAACTGACATCCATCATACATGGAACGTGGAATTAGAACAGTCTACCCCAGTGATCAAAATAAAGGGTTCAGTTCGAAATTCCAACCACCTGAAGAAGGCCGGAGCGTACAACGGCCGAAACGTTGTGACAAATATGGCGACAAAGATGAGGACAATAGTCCGACTAATGTAAATACTGTACATAATACCTCATCTCAGAAATATAGACAAACTTTGAATGTTGGCATTCGTTATGATGAATTACGACACAAAAATATATTTTTGAAAATTGTTACCGTTTTTTGAGGACACAAATATTAAGTTTTTAAATATTAAGTTTAGGTTCACAATGGTAGCGCTGCAATTTCATTCCGGTGATCAGCGAAAGCGCAGCCTTATATGATTTATAATATTCTGAAGCTTTACAAATTTTATATAGACAAGATGCATGGCACAAGGACATTATTGCTAAATCACTGTGCCATCAAATAAGATCTTCATTTACTTCAAAGTAAAATTATACTAAACAATTAAGCTATATTATGATGTAATCATACTTATTATAAAACCCAGGTTGTGTGTGTGTGTGTGTGTGTCTGTGTCTGTACGTTTATATATTGGATCGGATTTCCTACATTTTTCAACCGATTTCAACAAAACTTCACAGGACTACGTAAAATTACATTGCGGTGGTTCTGACTGTGCCAAAAATTGGAAAAACACAATTGTTTTTGCACGAAATCAATTTGAAAACACGATTAAGAGGCATCGCTGTTTCGAGAATGAAAGTGGGACAACTCATATCGAGTTATACTTATTATAAAACCCAGGTTGTGTGTGTGTGTGTGTGTGTGTGTGTGTGTGTGTGTGTGTGTGTGTGTGTGTTTGTTTATATATGGGATCGGATTTCCTACATTTTTCAACCGATTTCAACAAAACTTCACTTTTTTTGGCAGGTAGTGTTTCTTATTGTCTTGCACATTTTTTTTCTTTATTTTTACATTCAGAATGCTTTAAAAATTTCATTTACAAGAAAATTGTTTATAATAAAATTGAAAAATTCTATTCAATCGGTAGACTCATAACGATTGAGAACAATTTTTGTTTGAGTTTGGGTTTGACCAATTCGTAAAAAAAAAAAAAAATCTAATTAAGACATGCGTGTCCGTCAACCTTAAACAATAATCTTTGTCAATTTTATTTTTCAGTCTTTATGATGGTCGATACTTGATCTGTCTCTTACATCCCCGGGCAATGCCGGGCTCTACTGCTAGTATGATATATACTGCAATAGTTTTAGTGTGATTTTCAATAAACAATGCAAATTTAAAACATTTTGTCTTATGATTTGTGCCCAGCAGTATTACGGTGTTATATAAAATTTTATCTATTTTTTGTTTTTATTAATTATGATCTAACAAATTATCTAACAAATTTTATTCATTGAGTCGCCTTTTTTTGTAATCTTTTACAATTTTTTACGCACTTTTTGCTTATCGAATACAGTAAAAAAATATATTTTGCTTGTGGTGATTCATAATTAGAATTCTGATTTGAATATATTTTCCATTTAATGTATTTAATACAAAAATATCAACTTAATTTGGAACTATTCCTGAAATAGTAAAATTTTGAATTCACTTTGCAAGTAACAGAATGCGAAAATTAAGTATTTCTCTAGATTTTTCAGACGATCTTTAAAACTGATCAAAAAATGATAAAGCTATGAATCTAATTTTTGGTGTCAGTACTTATCACATAAAACCCCAGCTTTTAGACTGAGTGCAATGTTGATCTCCTAAAAAACGTGAAAAATTAGCCTGCCCTACTGAGTAATTCTATGGGAGAGTGTCATTTCGTTTATGTACAATTGTCAAGTACAAGGCCGCGCAACCAGTCCTCGTGGTATTTAAAATGTGTGGATACATTCCAATATATGTCGTATCATTAAGTTTCGACAGATGATGTTTTCTTGTAATACTGACGGAAATGAATTTTTAAATGGTTGGCTATTGTGAATTGTTCACGGAAAATATGAATATTTGTCTTGGAAGAAATATATTAATTCGTTTTAGACTGTGTTCTTTGGATTAGTTGTGAAATAAATGAAAGAAAACTCGAAAATTAATGTAGTTTCCTTTTCATCAATAATCCATGTCTGACGAAAACCTAATCTGATTGCATTTTTAAGCACAAATAAAGGATTTATTTTCCTATGAATAATCTCAGATTTAAGATTATCTTGTAGTTGTCTAAGCCCGGGGGGGATGATATCTACACTGATTTTCAAGCCAACGTTTTACCCTCGGGCCTGTATTTACTGTCGAATTTGGCCATAGTGTAGACTCGGTACCTCAAGTGATCGGTAAAAAAAAAAAAAATTCCACAGTGAAAAAATGCCCCATACGTAATAAAAACAAATTTTTATCGTCAGTATGTTATTAAGAGGGAAAACCAATGGATTTTTTATTATCAAATTAAATTTTTTATCCTTTTTAGAACGTTTGAAATTTTGGTTAAAAATCTTGTTTTTTTTTCTTGCGTCAGCGGGAGGACCATAAATTAGTATAGAAAATTTTACCTGTTACCGAAATTCTGCTCTGAATCGTAAAACAAAAATGCAATAAAACTAAGATATTGTTTACGTAGAAAAAATTTTAATTGCTTATACGAATAAAATATATTATGGGCATTATTGTCTTGAGAAAAAAATTTCGATGAATAATTAATTTTTACATGAATTATTTTATTTTTTAAAATATTTAATTATAATTTATAAACTTTTAAATCTTTTAAATTTTTGTATTACTTTGTCTCGGTTAAGTCATATTAACTGAAAACTATATTTACTAATTATAAATGGAAAATCTTAGTACAATTCACCAACGGCCAATATTTTAAAAAGAATTTAAAAAATTTTCTTTGTGTTTATAAACGTACCGATTTTTTTAAAATACGGATGCCCATAAACGGCATTATCAGAAAATTATAACGATAACTATAGTAAATTTAAATCCAAAGTACCTAAAATTGAAGAAAACATTAGAATACGGAGAATATTTTCCTCAAGATTATTGAGCAGTTAAAAATGATATAAAGAGGGGATCACGTTATATTCCTCAAGTAATTTTTACAGATATAATCACCGTAAAAAACATTAGATAAACATGCGTCTTTCAGTCACGCCGTCAACCTGTCAAAACCGTAAATAAACAGCTACCACCGATATTTTAAAATTAAGTCAAGTAAACTTTCAATCAGCTAATATTCCTCAAATAAAATTTAGAAAAGTATATTTTATTTTTGAAAGAATTTTTAATAAAGAAAATTACATTACGATGACGGAAGGCTAAAAATAGCAGCGATATTATTGGTTGCAAAACGAAAACTCCTTTCAGTCAATTTAAATTGGTTTTTGAAACACAGCAAAATATTTTGCTTATTGAAAATATTAAATTTAATTTATTAGCTTAAAATTAAAACTAAAATAAAAGTATCGACAAAGATTTCTAATTTTTTAAAATTCATTTTAAACTTTAGATATCGCGTTTTCTGTGAAGATACCTACAGTACCTTTCACAGAGACAGCTGCGCAGTTATCATTTTAAACTGCGAAATTATACTGAAAAAGCAAAACTTGTTAACTTTTTTACAATCGGTTTCCGGTTGTAAATTTCGACAGAAAAGGATATTAGCGGCAAGTCTTTTACATTCATTATCATTCACGATATCACGATTCTTAGAGGAGATTCTTAACAGGGCTTTAGCGCAAGGAAACTCTGATTGAAACTTTTTTATATATATCTTTTTAAAATTATCACCAACTTACAAGCTTTTATTAGTTATCAATGCTGCTTCTATCCGCGTATAAAAACCAAGTTGGAAAAATTGACATTAAAACTTAAAACAAAAACCGATGAAGAATTTTTCCCAAAGGTCATGTAACTGTAATCCGCCTAACATTACATTTTATATAGCTATAAAGTGTAATGTTAGTCTTATTAGAAGAGCTATGAATGAATTTATTCTCCCATTTTTATTTCCCCCATTATGAACATTATTCATGATAAATAAACGGCAAATTCTGTCTATCCGCTCGTGTGTCAGAAACCCTTGTAACTTTTTGGAATCAGGATGATCCCGGGATTGAAATTCTGCCCGTCATCTGATGCTTGAACATCCAACATTAGGATATATGCCCGGATGAAGAAGGAACAGTTTTAAAATAACCGAAAAAAATAGTGATTTTAAAAGTTTTTAATTTATGTTGAGTTTAAAATAACACAAAACCTTTGTGAATTCAAAAATGTTTATTTTAAATTCAGTTTATCTCCAAAACTTTGTGAATTAAGGAAATCAATTTTATTTCTCTTAAAATGCCAAGAGATCAGAATTAAAGGTGAGAGCGTTTCGTGATGTTTTGAAGTTCCACAGAATTTGTGATCTGAAGTATTCAACTCAATTGAAGTTCCACGAAGAACTCAGTTTTCAGCCCAAATTGAAATTTCGGCCCAAATTGATCTTTCGGCCCAAAGTCGGTCTTTTGGCCGGAATTGGATGTATAGCTCGAATCAGAGTTAAAATGAGCTTTTGATGTTCCAT